CACACACACACACACACACACACACACACAATGTTCGCATTCTGGATTTAGCATGTAGCTTGTGCGGTCTAGCATGTAGCTTATGCGGTCTTTCATTTGAATAGCCTTGGAGAAGCTTGTCAGTCAAATTCAATCAACAACAACAACAACAGTGGTTAACACAAATTTGCACTTGCCTGACAGTTAAACATGTTAAGGTATCACTAAAAACCGTAACATGACGAGAAGGAAAACAAATACACTTAATTAAAGAAAAAATAACAACTGTATCCCCACATAGCATTTAGCTTGTAGCTTATGGGGTCAGCCATTTGCATAGCGCTAGAGAAACTTTGCTCACACCCGTCATTAGCACCTTGCCCACAATGTGCGTGTTTAAAATACCCGGTGAACAGTGGTGTACCCGTGTGGCATTTTGCCCTCCTGTGACTAAATCCGAATGCCCGCTTGGCATTTTGCATCTTTAGTGAGGCAACCCGAAAGGAAGGACTTAGACGTGTGGTCAACATAGTGTGACTGAGGCCATGTTTTCCCACAAAAGGAGAATGGTCAGGTGAGCGCAAGGTTAAAGTTCATGCCAAGAGCAACCAAAAGCGGGTCAAAGACCAATGAAGTGTTCGGTGGAACTGAGGAAGAGTGAGAAAAACAGGATGGATTGCGGGGCGCACATTTCAATGTGCGAGCGACCCGACGGCCATCTGCGCGGGGGTTTGTGACGGGACACAATCGGCTCGGTTTGTGGGCGGGGTCACGCCACAAGCCTTCTGCGAGGTCGCCGTCCTCTTGTTGGCGCGGCGTGGAACAATAGGACACGAGGGCCCTAGCGCACACGCCATAAAGGAAGCCGGCCGGGACTGTTGCATTCCTGCGCCACGGTCGTCCAGATGTCTCCCAAACACACAAGTAGTCCTGGTGAGAGGAAATTGCTGCTATAAGCGCATTCTAACTGCTACCTGCTTCAGCCTTGCATTAAAACCAGCAGGACGCTGCACGCCGAGGCTCCAGATCGTCCCCTAAATGGTGGAATTTTTCTCATAAAATTTGAGACAGCGCAGGTAAATTTTCCACCTACTTACGCCTGTGCGACCAGTAAATTTGCATTAAAAAAGTTTTTTGTTTTTTGCAATGACTATTTTTGGATTATTTTTGGTTTCTGACAAACCTCTGTTCCGCACTTCAATTTATCAGTACTACAGTGAAAATGAGTGGAGTCAATACTTCCATTGCAGGTCAACTTACATTGTGTGGTCCTAAAATTTCAGGTTCGGGGCCACCGTGCTCCTATTTAAAAGAAGAAAAGTTTGGAGTCTGGAGTCCTGCCCACACCAGGGCTGAAGGATTTTGAAATCCAATCTAATTTCCCCTCCCCGTATTGTAATCAATTTATTATGCAATTCTTTTTTTCAATCACATGTATTTTGGTTAACACACGAACAAGCCGCCCCGCCGCATTGAATTGTGCTTTTCACACCAATTTTGTGAGCCAAGTTTTTCTCAGTATACATCGTACACTGAATCACCACCAACACACTAATTGTGTACACATTGATCACACAGACGTGGCCGAGTAACCTGAAGAGCTCACACAAAAGTCAAGCCATCAGCTGGTGCGCAGTGAGAACGCATCGTGAGAGTAACTCACACTGTTCTGTGGTTCAAGGCAACAGCTGTCGTGGAAAATAGGAACTGACTGAGACTTCAACTTTGAATGCTTATAGCCCACTAATGCTCTGATCCTTTACGCATGAATACGCTAACAATCTATAAGGGCGTTGAATGACTTTTGATCTAAAGGCCATTGTGCGACTGGACGTTCACAATCCAAAGCTGTACTCGTCGTCGCCTTGCGGGAACAGGAACGTCATCCCATTCAAACATCGGACTCAGCGTCGCATCGCGTCTGATGGTTAATACTTGAGAGGAAAACAAAGAGTGCAGTTAGTTCGTTGAGGGTGTCGTAAATCAAGCGCGACGGAGACAACGAAAAACACTAAATAAGTGTTACACGTAAATGAAACTCACGGCATATTCAAGCAAAGTTTGTTCCGTTTCTGAATAGCCCGTACAGACATTATCAAGTATCTTTTCAGATTGATCGCGGGTGATACGGCAATGATATCATCAACGCCAGGTGCTAACACAACAGCCACTTTGTTAGGCCGTAAAACAGCCACAGAAATGTGGGAAAAGGTCACCCGGTGTCACCGTGCCTCCAAGGAATGAGACACAAATTCCGAGTGACTGAGTACAAAATGCAAATTCTCAGCATGCACATAACTGGGGCTCAAATTGGGGGACGGCCATGTGTCGGGGGGCTCGTCTTGCTCTCGGTCACCGGTGCTGCTCCTCTGATGCAGCGCAACAAACAGGAGGAGAGAACACAGCAGTCGGCGTCACGCGTTGCTTCCTGTGCAAACATTCCGATCTGAGTCGCAGATTTTCACACAGCGGTAGAGCCAAATTTAGGCATCAATGAGGTTTACCCAGTGAGCCGCCTGCCGCTTACACAGACGTCCCAGTAATGCGGAGGGGGTTTGCGTTTGAATCCCCCACAAGTGTCATGCCATCGATCGGGCTCACCCGTTGACCGGATTTGGCCGCGTGAAGTTTGCAGGCCGTACGCACTGCGACGTCAATTTCAGTCAACAGCAGGTGGCAATTTCGGAAAAAACAAGTCAGCCCCGACATGGCAAAAGACGAGTGGATTTTTCTGCCCATATCTTGTTCCACAAACACAATATTGAACAGAATACCGTGTTTAGACGAGTGAGGGTGCATTGAGCAGGTGACCGCAAAGACAATTTTTGACTTGCCTTTTTCCACTTGAAGGCGATAAATAAGTAAGTCCTCCTCGCCAGTAGTTGGCGCTACACTGCGGCGGTTTGACACTGGCAAAACATCACGTGCATTAGAAAGGGAAACAAAAGGTGTTTGTTCACAATTATCTATCATTGTGTGAACTGAACTTTTCATGTTTTGTTGTTCAAGTGGTGATCCCATCCAGACTCCGCATTTAGTCAGACCGTGGTTATCGGAAAATACCGTCATATTGCTAGTTCACTGTCATTCGAGTTCAACGATACCTTGACATACACTCGCACCACCAGCCACAAAAAAAATGCAAATTAATAAGTTGGTGTATTTGCAAGTCAAGGTATCACTGTAGAAGTAGAAGTTACACATTTCAATAATACAAAACAGTTTTGATCAAAATCAACAAATGTATAAGAGCTATCCAGTCTGCAGCTACCATGAGAAGCACTTTTCAGAAAAGTCTTGTCCAAGGTAAAACACACATGCAGGTAATCCTTCAATGCAGTCGAGTGAGGTGCACATTACGAGAGTTCTGTGTCCAAAATTTGAACACTGACAGCTCATTATTTCTCAACATTTGGTAATAATAGTCCAGGCAACAACGGCGTGCAAAGTGTATGATGAACTATTACATGATAACAGGTCCAGCGCGGGGAATAACAAGTTTGTCACAGCCCGAGTGGCTGCAACAAGCCAAGATAAAGCGTCTAAAATTAGAAACCCACATGATCTACTCCAGCAGGAGAGGCATGTAAGGTGCCAAATAGTCAAACAACAACAACAATGTTGCTAAAAATCAGCATACAACTCAACGGGTACCCAGCAGTCAGCCTGAGAAATCTTGCGGTGGCGTTTGATCAGCGTGTCGACCGCAACAAAGGAGTCCTGGAAGTGGACCAAACATCATCAAGTGGTATTAAGAGTGTTTAATATTTCATAGAGTCGCACTGTGCCAACGGTGACTGTAGTTTAACGGCCAGCAGAATGTCATTGTGAAACAAACAACCACATAGCTGAAACTTTATACGAAATGCCTTCGCAATTCAAATTGTGTAATCTTGCAGTGTACAAACTGCACTGCAGGACATCAAGAGCTCAGTCTGATATTTTGACATAAACGTAAATAAATATGAGCATTACAGTGGTGTCATGAGATAGAAGTGACCCGATTTACAAAGTGTTTCAAGACACTAGCTGTCAAACTAAACTTAAAACTGGGAGGAATTTAACATTGTGTATTTAAACCACAAGCCCAAAGTCACGGCGATAATACCATCACACATACAGCACATTTGACAATAAAGTTGTATCCAATCCAATCCAATCCAATCCTTTGGTCTGCTAGCTTAATTCTAATGCTAACACAGAAAAGGGAAAACATAAAACCTTTTTGAGCAACTAATATTTAAGCAATCAGTGCAGTGCAAAAATAACAGTCCTCAATCATATATTATTTGTCCTCTGCAATGAGCTGAACCATGATGCCCAGATGTCTATCTGCAGAACAGTACATCTGTCTGGTCATATACTGCTCCCAAGTGGCTAAGGCGACCAAATATGATTTTATTTATTACTGTATGGTTTCATGAAGTACAGTTATAGACTGATTTTTTTAAAAAAATAATTTAAGTGTTTTGTTGTTTTCTGTGTGTGTATGGCTGGAACTGATTTATGATTTTTTTTTCATTTCAACTGACTTGAGATACGAGTGATTTACAATGTGAAGGTGTAGACTCCTCACAGTAAACACTCAATGTATAATTTACAAGGCATGCTGACATTATTCTCAAATAGGGTTCATGATTAAACGTACACTTACAAAAATAGCAATAACAGCGCAACAACTCCCAAAGTTGATTTTATTTAAACTGTCAAGATATCAAAGACCATCTTGTCCTGGGGGTCTGTTTCCAAAGCGAGGCCTGGCTGATTGTTGTGTACAAAGATAACGGACATAAATCACAATAAAATCAAACAGACGATCTATCAATGTGTAGTTTACATGTGTAATGCGTAAAGTGATTGATTTTATAGTGAAACAAGGGGAAGGAGAGCAAGAGGTGTTGCTAATGTTGTTATCGTAGCTTGTTGTTGAATTAGCTTCTTTGGGGGCGCTCGCGGCAGCTGTCAGCCGGGGGGTCGAACTTACTTCATTTTACCGGCAGCTGTACTAAAAGGTGAACTGGCTGGTGCATCCCAGTGAATATTCGAGAAGCAAAATCAACGCTCGTTGTGATTTTCTGACAGTGTTTTCCCCCAACGGAGCAACCGATGTTAGCATCGAGACGCTAACGCAAATGCACTGAGTCCATTTTCGGACAGCTAGGTTTTTACATGTGTGCTATGTCGTCTTCTGGCGTATTTTTACTAAACCAGGCTCCGGAAACGTTGCACACGCTGATATTATAACAAACATTTATTATTTTTAATAAGGTGGTGTGTGACAACCACATCCAGGCATATCGGTGGGGTTAGCATTAGCTTCATTTGACGCACTTTTAAAAGGCTTCAAGTAGTGAGAATGACAACGTTTGGCCTTTACAAATGAGTGACTTTGGGGGGCAAAATCTCACATTTTATTAGATTTACCAAAAGAGCTCAACAACTATGGATGTCCGATAATGGAACCCGGGGTCGACAGAGATTCTTCCCCCACTCGCGCTGCAGCTTTTTACCTTGTACACATCTCCGTAGGTGCCGCTTCCTATCCTCTGGATCAGCTCGAAATCCTCCTGCGGATTGCGGCGGGACAGGTCGACACTGGCGTTCATCATGGCCAAGTGCCACTCAGGGCGCCAGACGACGCGCGCTGTTGACGGACGCCGACGACGTTATGTACGAACTGGGATAATTGTCAGGGAGAAAAAAAACATATGGAGTCAGAAAATAGCAGCCCGAGCCCACTCCTGCTCCAACATGGCGTCCACTGCGCAAAGCGCATGCGCAGTGGACGTGCCCTCTTCCATGGAGCCTTGGCAAGGCAGACTCACGAACACTTAAACCGCGCGGAAACGTTCACACACGCACGCGCGACGTGCCCTCTTCCATGGAGCCTTGGCAAGGCAGAGACTCACGAACACTTAAACCGCGCGGAAACGTTAACACACGCACGCGTGCGTACACACATCGACTCATTTCCAAAATGTTAATTTTCATTGAATGTAGGAGTAAAGAATTTATTTTTTATTTTTTATTATAATCAAGGTTTTTTTTTATCCCCATATCTTAAGTGCTTAATTGTCAGTGATTCTTAGTGGGACATGCAAGGTTCCCTCGGTGATACACAAATTAATCAATGCTCAAGTACAGTTCTGTTGAATTTTACTTTTAAGAGCAAAGCAGCTTGTTTTAAACATTTTTAAGTACAGGTTTTATTTAACTTTTTTTTAAAATAATGATCACGAAGGTGGGACCTGAGAGCAAAGTGCTTTTTAGGCAGTGCTGTGTATGATGTGAAAAGAGAATCCCTGGCCCAAGTGTTTTTTCAACTTGCAGTTACCAAATCTCTTACAAAATAGGCCTATATTGTCTCAAGATTGTTAGGTTTTTTTTCTTGTTTTCTGAAAACATTTAAATATAAGTTAGACCAGTGATTGCCAACCAGTGCGTCGACGCTGTGAGAGCTGTGGTGGAAAAATGGGTATTAGGCTGTATCTCGGTAAATTATAAATTTTCACTTAATTGCTTAGAGCTTCATATTTATAATCTTATCTTTGTCAATACATCCGGAGACTTAATAGTGACAGACTAATGGGGTAAATGACATCGGGCTAATGTGTTTTGTTAACCCATGAGCCCTCTTGTGGTCAAACTTTTTTTTTTCATGTAACGTTGCCTCAGGTGACCCTCGCAGCGGCAGGTAGAGTGTAACGTCAGACTGGGTCACTGCATTGTGAACCGGTATTCTGAATGTGACCGAATCTGGATCCGCCCCAGCTGCTTGGTTTGAACTGCGCCACGAGCCACAGTCGAAGCCCATAAGCGTGACGTGCCATGTGTCTTTCACCGGTCAGTTGTCATGGGAACAAGACGTTCTGACGGCGATGCTCATTGAGACCACGCGACATCCATAGTTGGGAGCGGAGACAAAACAAACGCGTGTGAATCTATAAAACGAAATGAAACAAAAAGTTTACACCAGTCAGAGGAAAGTTTTCAATCATGTCGGACTGATAAATGTGCCGACATGATTGGGTGGATGTGACCCATTATTCTAGATGCAGCGATTCAATTGTCGGTGTGCTGGCATCAAAAATCACAAGTGATTGGCTTAAGGAGAAGTGAAAGGTGGCCTGGAAGTTAAATAAGCCCGGAGTGTGGCCGTGTCTGGCCCTTTCACGGTCCAACTAGGCTAAGCGGGGCTAAACGCTGGCAGATGGCAGCATTGTGATTCAGCTGATGGGGGTCAGTGTGTGAGCACTGCAGTGCAACGAAATTCCACGCTCGGAAGTGGCGCGTTACCCTGAATAAAACGGCCTTTGTTTTCTTGTCAGTGCCCCATATACTGTACCAAGAAGTTACTTCATACTTCATCAAATACACACGCAAGCACATGCTGAAGACTGGGAATGCGTAGTTAGCGTTTCACTTGGGGGGCCGTTATGACTGAAGCCATGTAAAGAAGTCAGGAATAACTGTTGATTTGGTTTGGTAACAAGAAAATGTGTCGAATATATCTCTTATTACATATGAGAATTTAAAGTTTTGGTAGACATTTTAGAAAGGATCATGGAAGTTGACATGTTTGAGGTGCTTTTGCGGGCCACATAAAATGATGTGGCGGCCCAGATCTGGCCCCCGGGCCTTGAGTTTGACATCAGACATATGAGAACAGGGACATGATCCAGGTTTTGCAAAGGTGCGTAAAATTTGCGGGAATATTTGAAAACATTTTTGTAATATAGCCCTCCGAGAAAATTGCCTTCATAAGCAGTTTGACTTTTAATTGACATGAAATTGGATTGGGTGTAATACAGGATGTCGATCATAACAGGAGAAAATCTATCGAGATTTTTATAGAGTGGAACATTTCAGTGACTTCGAAGTCCATCACAAATCCCTAGACAGCAGAGTGATGATGAAGTTGGCAATGAGGTGAATGATTAAAACACAGCGAATGCATTGGTAATCATTCACTCAGTCCCTGCTAGCGAATCACTGTATAGCACTGGGAATTTAATATTGTGGACTACATACAGTCGTTCCTTCAACAGTCAAACGACAAATTGATTTTGAACAGGTGTGATGTTAAATGTCTTGGTGCGTTCTTAAATTATCGTTCCTCTGTGTTAAAAACTAAAAGAGGTAGCCAAAAATTGTACTTTAGAATATGACTTAAGTCATACTCCACATATAGACGACAGTATGTACTCAGTGAAAAAAAATCCACTCAAGTAATGACTAACTGTTGAGTAATTTCTGATCTATTATTTAAAATCAGATTAAGAACGTCAAATAGACAAAATATCAAATATGAATGTTCAACTTCAGATATTGCCTAACTAAAACTAAATAAATTGGATCTTAAAAAAACACACCCCAAAAAACAATTTCAGGCCAATTCAGCCAAAAGAAATGGCCTGAAATAAACTGTTTACGTTTGTGAAACGGCACTGTCGCATCCCCCAGGCAGAGATTACACAGAACCAACAAGATCCATGTTGAGTTTTTGTAGGCTGAAATGTCAACATTTTTTTGGCAAACACAGATGACACCACATGACCTTGCGGTTCTTTCATCGGAGTCCAACCATCCGTTTTCAAGAGTGGCCTATCTGTAAGGTTAAGTATAGATTTCATCCAGGTCATGGTTTTGCCTGTTGAAGATAACACTAGTAGAAAATGTCCAGCCCTGATCAATTAATTTTGTGTTTTTATATATTTATGTAAAAGTCCATCTATGGTGCCTAAACTGAGTCTCAGAGTGGCCTGGTGCTCCAGAGACGAGAGAGGGGGGCGCGGCTCGGTCATCAGCCCCATCGGAGGCTCTTCTCCCTGCGTAGGAGTTGACGTGATTTCCTGCGCTCCTTGCTTGTTTGCAGAGTCTTCTGTTCTCGTTTGAGGCTGCGTGAGGAGTTTTTTCAGGAGACACGACAACTGAGGGCTCAGGAGGAGCACCAAGCTTCCGCCCACACGGAGGACTCTGCAAGCACAAGCGTTGTTAAATGACATTTTTTGTTGTTGTTGTTACCAGAATCTGCTTGTCTTGGGTTCTAAGGACCTCTCCATCTCGGCGAGGATGAGCGGCAGACTGGCGGCCATGTCGGTTTTGGTGCCAAACTTCCTGCCGAATGGCAGGTCACAAACCACCGCGTCCACGCTTGCATTCGGGATTGGTATATCTGCCAGAGAACATGCAAGTCTTAGAGAATCAAATTATCGATCGTTTTGTGATCATTTTGGCCAGATTCCTCACTAGTAGTTGAAGCTTTTAAGAGGTGTATTCTGTCTCCCAGCTCCGCGAATGCAACATTCTCACTAGCTTTGTCCAGCTGTCTGTCATCGATGTCCAAACCCAGGAAGCCAGCGAGCTGAAAATCCAATTCACAGAGAAAACAAATGTATGTTATGATCATATTCTTTACATTACAACTGTGGTGATCAACTTGTAGTCTAATAAAGTAATAATTAGTGACCTTGTGTTCCTGTGCTGCCTCTATTAAGATGGTTCCCATACCACACATTGGATCGAGAACAAGGGAACCTGACTGGGAAACACAGCGCACAGCGGACTATTATATGTGGCATATTAATGATCATCATTTTAAAATATTAAATCCAATTTTTTAAATATTTATTCATGCTGATATGATTATCCAGGGATTTGCCTGTGTTCAAAATTGCATGGCGGCCGCCCCCAGCCAGATCGATTGATATCGCTCAACACAGCGTAAAGCTCCAGCTGCGCTGATGGAGCGATTGATGTCACTTAAAATTCTAATAATAAATGGTGCATGTATATTTTGCAAACACTGTAATAATACAGTACCTGAATTTGAGCCAGTTCAGCCATAGCCCAGGCAACTGTGGACCTGAGTCCTGTCGTTTTGATGTAGCATCGATTAGCAAGCGGTAACCTGAGGGAAACAAACACCACTTCAAATCGAAAAATCGAAACACAAAGCATTTAAGGTCTTCTTTTGATGTCAATTCAGCGAGGGCTCACCTGGTGAGCGGGATCCCAAGCAGGCAATAGTCATCCCTCAAGTACACGGTAATCTGCGAGTGAAAAATAAGCAGCTGTAAACACCAAACAAAGAGAACACAAGTGTAATAATAATAATAATAATAATAATAATAATAATAATAGAAATAAACGTTAGTTGACCTCAATCTGTGGGTTCCTCAAATCAACCTTCCAGCCCAACTGTCCACTGAGACTGGTTCCCAACACTTTACTCACCTCCTTTGGACATAAAGAAGTGGCAAATAGGATCCAAAATTAATATTTTAATAAACATATATGCTATATTTGGATGAATTTCATAGTAGGAGTTTTTCAAAGTACTGTACAAGGGTATTAAGATAAGATAAGATAAGAAAACCTTTATTAGTCTCGCAATGGAGAAATTCCCAATTCACAGCAGCAAAGTTATGAATGGAAGAAGTAGAACAACAAAATATAGGAGCTGCTGGTATTGCCAGAAATGTCAGCTTTAAACCTGACTTCCTTTTTCGTGCCCACCCAAATTCATGTGGCTTGGTTAAAATTGTGTGGGGTCCGCCCAACCTTCTAAAACGTTCATCTTCACCTTGATACACACACTTTCTGGTGAAGCCATTCAATGCCATTTGTACAGTGATTCCATCAAGAAAAAAAACCCTCTTTTTAAAACCCCCCCCCCCCAAAAAAAAAGACATTACCTGAACGCTCAGGTGGCGGGATACAGACCCAGAACACTTGCAGCTAATCCGAAAGGAAAATGGGACAGAAGAATGCCGATTAGCCCCTGG